GTTAATTTTCGGTTAGAGTGCTAACTGCGGTTTCATATGGTGTTTCGGTTGTTGCGGTTTTCACAACCATAAACCGCGGTTCACCGCTAACCGCGTTCTGCGGTTTTTGGTTAACCGCTAACCGTTGCGGTCGCGGTCGCGGTTGGCCAATATGGGTGTTTTGCGGTTGCAGTTAACCGTAACCGCACCGTTTCCCACCCCTAATCGTAGGTCACGTATTTGGACCTGCAGTGAGCATATGAGATCGAATATATACGTCACGCCAAAGCCCAACAATATTGTGCTTAATTAGCCTTCAATTAATTAATGAAACCGTAATGTAATGTAATCAACTTATTATTATCGTTAATTTGTTAAAATGCGATGACCAAAGAACCCTAAACTAAAACCAAGCTCGATACATGCATGCATGATTACATGCACTTCGAGGTTCCCAACAGCCAACACGAAATTGATTAGAGTACTATTGAATTCTTTCCACATAAAAATATATCCCCAAAAATTGAGTAGTTAATTGCCGCCAAATGAATTTTGATTATCCATGGACTTCAATGATTAAACACAAGTTGAGTATACGTACTTTCTGAATTAATCATAATAAGATAGGGGGCTTGGGTTCCGATACAAAATCTCGGCCTACAAAACCCTGCAAAAACCGCCGATTGTATCATTGTATCACGATGTCGTATGATAGGATGATACGACGCGAGGTTTCGTAGTGTTTTGCATACTGACATTTTCTACCCTATCCGCTCCCAAAGTAGGTAAAACTGGAAGTAGGTTAAGTTGTGACTAACCATTTAGAGAACAGTTTTATTTATGATTTACAAAGGTGGTCTTTGGAAGAAGTACATAGTTAACTACTTACTAGTTTAATTAGTAATACATAGATTATGTTTGTTGTTGCATTAAGCATAATAGTGCGCTTAGGTACGAAATAATTGTGCACTCTCTCGCTAATCGTCCTATATAAAGTAAAATAAATGTGTATTAGCATCTCAACTTCCTGACAAATCACTGTCTTTTGCATTACTTTCTAGCTAGCTCATAATAAGCACGTGTCTTTTGCATTACTTTCTAGCTTTTTCCCCAACTTAGCTTTCACTTATGTCATTTCCATATCAATAAAAGCAACCATACTTAAGTTTTTCTATAATTTACTACGAGAGTTCGACTAATCACGTCCTCTTCTAATCGTTTTAGGAAAAAGAGAAGACAAAGTTACTTTTTTCTTCTTCTAATGTCGAAGATATTTATCGTTGATAGTACTTTTTATGAAGGAAAAAAACAGAATGATGACTCCCAAAAAACTATTTGTCATCAACAAAGTCATTCGACAATCCAGTATATCGACTCATCCCATCATAGGGTTGAAGAAGGTTTCAAGGATTCGGTTGTTTGCCTAAACATGTACCTTGTGGATTCAATAGTCTTTCATATTAAACTGTATCTACCCTTTAAGTTAGTTCAGGCACACGGAGTAATTCATTCCACTCGTTAATTATCACTCTCAATCTTGATTTTCTCTATGGGTTTGTTTGGATGGGTCATTTTCAAAATGAGTCAATTTGAACCAAAAGACTTATTTTAGAAAATGAATCAATTTGATGAGTAAATCTGCCCACAATGTATCGTTTGGAATGGACTGTGATATGGAGAAATGCGGATGATCCATTTTGGGGAAATACAAATTTACCCTTGTCTTCTGCAAGTTTTTTGTCCCTGATTCTGGGTTCTTTCTGTTAGTTTCATCATCTCTCTAGTGGGCTTTCATATTTTCCCGCCAATAAAAGCGCCTGACTTGAGCATGAATCCTGGTCTTGAAATGAAAAGTCTGTACTTGTTACCATCGATCGAAAATTAAATCAGAGGAGATTTGCTACATCAAGGCTCTAGCAAAGCCCAAATTCCAATTAGACAGCTAATACACCACAATCAAAAATAAAATATTTGTAAAAGCTTATTCTGGGTTTCCAACTCCTCTAACTAAAACCTTCATTGACCCATTTTATCACCTTGCATGCAGAATCCAGACCTCAAAAACTTGTTGGGCATTGGTTGGCAAGGCTCACGAAAAAAAAAAAAAACAAGATCTAGATGAAATCCCTTTTATTCTATGAGCTCCCCCTTCTTATTCACTCCTTCAAAAAAGTCAACTTTCTCGTAGCTAGATGAAAAAACAAGAAAGGGACGAGAGATGAAGAAGAATCCAGCCTCTAAGAACTCAATTTAAGAGCAAAACTGTTCTAGGTTTGATTCTTCTTTCCTCTATCCGTCATGGAAGCTTCGTCCGCCAAAGAGAGACGAAATAAAAAATGAGATACAAAATGGGTTGTATATGCAGAGAAGATAAGAGAAGAAAGAGAAGAGAAAGGTTGTCTCTTGTCTCTACAAGAGAGAATGGAAAGAGAAGAAGATAAGAGGCGTGAGAAGGGTCTGTCACTTTTTGTCTCTTGGAGAGAGAGAAAGGGAACAAGAGAAGAGAAGGACACAATTGGGAAAGAAGAAAGAAAACGCGTCAATTAAGAATTTCTCCTCCTACCCCAGGTATTCTGAATTGGCGCATAATGAGGCAATTCTAATTTCCCTATCCCAAAATGTTTCGTTTCTATTTTTGGTTACAAAATGGAACAATTGAACCAAATTGTCTCATTTTTGAGTCAATTGTATCACATTGCCTCATTAAAAAGACCCATCCAAACAACGCCTATGTATTCGAAATGTTAGGAGAATTGAGAAGCAAACGGTAAGGAGAAATGGCCAAATGGGAGAGCATGCAAGAAAGAACAAAGACGTACGATTCTGACTCTGAGTAAGCGGATGAGAACTCCGAGTCAGCAAATATATATTCTGAACAATTCCAACTGGGAATGGGGGATCAGTTATGATTTTTGAACAGGATAAAACCAGCTGACCTCGTCGTCAACGTTGGAAACGTGCGTACACGTCATAAGCCGACCCAATACACAGGATAAAACCTTAACCCGACAAACCCACCACGTGGATCCATTATTCCATGCAACTCCAATAATTCTGACCAACGTGAGAAGAAGATTGCGGTTTCGGGATGCTCCATTTTCAACATTCCATGTTTCTCTGGATAAGGATGGTGGTATTATACAGTAGGACTGACTGTATATATGTATACATGGGAGGGATGTCGTCGAAGGTGTTTACGTTGAAGTGGGCTTTGGCATCTTACATTTGACTTGCGATTATTAATTAATAGATCATAGTGTCAAAATTGGATGCCTAATTGGAGCATCATCATTTTATGAAGAAGCGTGCTTTCTTTGACAATTTGCTTAATTGATTTATTGCGTAAACTGTCAGTAGACTAGCTATATGGTGATACTTTGGGACTTGGGTAATGACGATGGTAATCCTGCACCATATGGAATTAAGGAATTCCTTGCAATATCCACGATCTGTCTGATTGGATGTTGGACTGTTCATGTAGGGATCGCTATTTTAATATAATCCGTTTTACCCAACCTCTTTGGCCTGTTTTGGGGTGGGTATGAGTACTCTCATTGAACTGACCTCTCCTGAACGGCCTCATTTGCGATCCGTTCTTGCCTAAATTACATGTATTCTTAGTCAAATTGTTTATGAATTTTCTTTTATTACATCATATTTTAGCTATATAAAGTTGTAAATTAGTGAAATCATCAATTTCTCCAATAATATAACTACATTTATCATAGTATGGTTTGTTTCTTGGTCATATAAAGAAAATAACGAATATTTATAATATTTCCATATATATTACATACCTATTGGGTCGACTTGTCCCGACCTGCTCCCCATAATAAATTACCTGATTTGGAGCAGATCTGCCATAGCCCATAGGGTGGGTATGTGAATCGAGATACCCGCCTCGAACCTACCTCATTGCCGTTCCTGGGTTCATGACAGGTGGGATGAATGGATGGTATCTCATTCGTAAAATTTTCATCATGTTCATTCAACAATGTATTGATAAGAGTATTAGGCGAGATAAAAAAAAAAAAAAGAGATAGAGCTTGGGGAAAAAGATATATTTTAAACTAAGACATAGAATCTATAAATTCATGAGAGATGTGATAATTTAGATGTCAGAAATTTAAAATGTCAGAATCTAAGTTCTGTCATAGGAAAAAATAAATATTCATATGATTTGACCATGATTCAATCGTTTAATATCGATAAAACCATATAACAACTTATATATTTTTTGAATTTTGATGAAGTGGTTTCCTGATAAGAACGTTGGTAAATTTAACAAACACGGGAATAAAGACAAAACTCTTCAATAAATCTATGAATTCTACTCAAATGTTATTGTACAATGAACACTTTTATTTTGACCAGAGAGATGGGAGTTGGGATAGTCCAGATGTACTGGGAGGGCATACTCCCATACTTGTTGCTGGCAGTAGATTAATAATTCGGATGGATAACCTTTGTTTCCTCCAAAAGAACCTCAAAGGAAAAGAAAGAACCATCCCGGTCACGATCGAGGAGAGGTGTGCAACAGATTGGTTTGGACCGGACTGTATCATATCAAACCAATACTTGAATCGTGCATATCGAATCGAATATAACATGATCCGATTTTTGGTCTCATAAATTTTAAAATATTGAAGAAAAATGGTCGGAAGTGATATTTGGACGGGGCCAAACCAGACCAGACCAGACCAAAACGAACCAAACACTTAATTTGATTCTTAATTCTAAAATGTTTTTCACTATTAAATCACCATTCTCATGAGTTTGGTTCTGCGATGGGATCGAACTGTTCCAAGCGAACCTATATATCTTGTTTATTTTTGGAGAATAAAAGATTAATCTTCTTTCTGATTAATAAAGGAAAAGAGAAAAGAAAAAGGGAAAATGAAATGGAGAAGAGAGGAGCCGACGCCGTATGAAAGGATGGGCTGTAGGCCCAGCATGGAAATGGGGCTCAAGGTAGCACCGTAGCAGCATGGAAAAGGAAATGGAAATGGAAATGCAAAGTCTACTATAAATACGTGGCTGGAGGTGGCAGAGTAAGGAAAAGGAACCCAAATTGCCACATTCTAAACCTGCTCTACGTGTTCAGCTCTCCCTCTATCTCTCCCTCCCTCCAAACCCCGATTCCCCTTCCGTTCTTCCTCCTCATTTTCTTGGCATTTCCAGTCACCACCGTTTTGCCCATTTCCATCATCAATTTCATCATGTGTGGAATACTAGCAGTTCTGGGTTGCTCCGATGATTCCCAGACCAAAAGGGTTCGCGTCCTCGAGCTCTCCCGCAGGCAATTCTTCATCCTCCATTCCCCTCCCTTCTTCCTTTTCTTTTCGTCTTCCTCTTGTTGATTTCATGCATGTTTGTTTTTCTGCTACGTGACCAGTAATGTTTATATTTAATTATTTGCTATATTGGAGAAAATAGAAAGAGGATGAGATTGATTGACCCATTGTGATGGTGATGGTTTATATATAAGAGTGAAAGCTTCGTGTGCTTGCTTGTTGATAATTAATCCTGCCCTGCCCTCCCAAATTTGTGATTAATCTAATCTCTAATCTAAACCTAATCAGGAGAATAAAGAATTCATTATTGCTTTCTTTGCTTTTCTTTTCTTTGACTGACTAACTAAACAGGCTGAAGCACCGTGGGCCGGACTGGAGCGGGCTGTACCAGCACGGGGACTGTTTCCTGGCCCATCAAAGGCTGGCCATCATCGACCCTGCTTCCGGCGACCAGCCTCTCTACAACGAGGACAAAGCCATCGTCGTCACCGTTAACGGCGAAATTTACAACCACGAGCAGCTGCGGAATCGCCTGCCCAATCACAAGTTCCGCACCGGCAGCGACTGCGACGTCATCGCCCATCTGGTAAGTAATTCGCCCCCCTTTCTTTTCTTTGCCCCGGGCTAGATTTCCTTTTCGCCGAATTGTGAATTTTTTTTTTTATCTTGTTAAATTTCCCTAGTACGAGGAGTATGGGGAAGATTTCGTCGACATGCTGGACGGGATGTTCTCGTTCGTGCTATTGGATACTCGCGACAACAGCTTCATCGTCGCTCGGGACGCCGTCGGCATCACCTCCCTCTACATCGGCTGGGGGCTCGACGGTAATAATTTTCTCTCGGTGGAATTTGCCGCCGAGAAATTATTAACTGTTACTGACGCAATTGCTTGGGTTTTCTCCAGGTTCGATTTGGATTTCATCCGAACTCAAGGGTTTGAATGATGATTGTGAGCATTTCCAGTGTTTCCCTCCTGGGCATCTCTACTCAAGCAACAACGGCGGATTCAGGCGCTGGTACAACCCGATTTGGTTCTCCGAGGCCATTCCTTCCTCTCCCTACGACCCACTTGCTCTCAGGCGCGCTTTTGAGAATGTAAAGGCCATTCCTTCCTTTCCCTCCAAGTGATTTGTGATTCGATGCTACTTATTGTTCTTGCTGTTTCTTACCGCAGGCTGTGATCAAGAGATTGATGACTGATGTCCCTTTTGGTGTTCTTCTCTCCGGGGGACTGGATTCCTCCCTGGTTGCTTCCATCACAGCTAGGCACTTGGCTGGAACTAAAGCAGCAAAACAATGGGGCTCCCAGCTTCATTCCTTCTGCGTTGGTCTTGAGGTGAAAATCTACGAAATGTCCCATCTTTCCCTGTTGTCTTTCAGTAGTTCCTTACTGCAGCTTCTTTGCTATCGGCAGGGTTCCCCTGACTTGAAAGCTGCAAGGGAGGTTGCAGACTATCTGGGAACCGTGCACCATGAGTTCCACTTCACGGTTCAAGATGGGATCGATGCGATTGAAGATGTGATCTATCACATCGAGACATACGATGTCACGACTATCCGAGCAAGTACTCCCATGTTCCTGATGTCCAGGAAGATCAAGGCTTTGGGAGTGAAGATGGTGATCTCTGGTGAAGGCTCTGATGAAATTTTTGGTGGGTATCTCTACTTCCACAAGGCTCCTAATAAGGAGGAGTTTCATCGCGAGACATGTCACAAGATCAAAGCACTTCATCAGTATGATTGTTTGAGAGCCAACAAATCTACATCTGCTTGGGGGTTGGAAGCTCGTGTCCCGTTCTTGGACAAGGACTTCATCAATGTTGCCATGGCTATCGACCCTCAGTGGAAGATGGTATGTATACATACATATATATGTATGTATGCTTCAGTTTGCAATTACGATTGGTTTCTTTTGACTTAAAGTTTTCTTCTTTTTCTTTTTTTCGGTGTGGGGTCATTTCAGATTAGGCCGGAGGAAGGAAGGATTGAGAAATGGGTTCTTAGGAAAGCCTTCGACGATGAAGACCATCCTTATCTGCCTAAGGTAGGTTTGATTTTGTTGACACATGATTTTTGCTTCTGTAGGGTTGATTTAGATTGACAAATGGTAGGAGTTTAAAATTGATCCATCCGGTTTCCGTTCAACAGCATATTCTATACAGGCAGAAAGAGCAATTCAGTGACGGTGTTGGCTATAGCTGGATTGATGGCCTCAAAGCTCATGCTGCTCTACATGTATGCACTTGAACTTTCATGCCATCAACTCCTGGTTTTTGGTTGAAATCAACTGTATTCTTATGTGTTTGTTACTTGTTCGACTGATTCGCCTCCCAGGTGACGGATAAAATGATGCAAAATGCGGAATTCATCTTCCCACACAACACCCCAAACACCAAAGAAGCATACTACTACAGAATGATCTTTGAGAGGTTCTTCCCTCAGGTAATAAACAACCCAACTCAAAACTTCAGAAAAAACATGAACGGATCCTAGACCTTCTGTAACACCCCTAATCTGACTCCATTGATGGAATCATTTCACCAGAACTCTGCCAGTCTAACCGTTCCCGGAGGAGCCAGTGTGGCATGCAGCACGGCCAAAGCTGTGGAATGGGACGCTTCTTGGTCAAACAATCTAGACCCCTCGGGTAGAGCTGCACTAGGAGTTCATCTCTCAGCTTATGCTGACACCGGCGGCAGTGCTGCTGCTCAGGCTGCCAAGGTGTCTTCTTCAAAGATGATCAACAACAACAACAACAACGTGCCGCCGCGGATGATGGAAGTGAGTGCCAAGGAGGTGGCGATCCATGGCTAATATCTACCAATACCATAGGGTGGCTAGGCAAACAAACCAGCTTACTGGTTCTGTTATGCATTGTGAAAATCTGTAGTGAGAGATGATTGTATGGCATAGGTTTATCTTAGCGTGCCCTCTAGAATTGAATCTGATCCCATATGCTGTTATTGGGAATGTGTATTTGTACTGTTGCCTCTTGTTGGTTTTGTATTATAAGGTGTGTAATCTGTCCGTCTGTTGTTCAAGATCTGTTTGGAGTTGTGCATAAGGTAAATATATGCAGGATTCGATTTGTGTATGTAGTAAAGCTTTGGTCATGTTACCATGTTTATGCTCTTTCTGTTTGCTGAAAGAAATTGACGATTGCGCCAAATGAGAAGCACATGTGATGATGAGGTGTGTATAGTTTGGGCATGCAATTGCCAACTTGCTGGCCTGCTGGAGGCTATTGTGTGTACGTGGCGGGAAAGGAAGAAACCAACTCAATCATAAAACTCTGCTTACTACTGCTACGTGTTCAGCTCTCCTTCCCTCCATCTCTCAGTAGTATGAGTCTCAGACTGCCACCATCACCATAGTTAACCCTTTCGAGCATCCGATCATTCTTCCAGAGCATTCCCTTCAGAAAGCAGTGAAGGAAAAAGAAGACGAAGAAAGGAGACAATCATGTGTGGGATACTGGCGGTTTTGGGTTGCGGCGATGATTCCCCGGCCAATCAAAAAATGATAATGCGTTTAACAGTTAGCCGCCAATCAAAAAATTATTATTGATAGGTGATTTGTTAAGGCTCTGACTCTGTGATTAACCGTCAGTCATCGGTGCCATCAGCTACTATTATTATAGCGGTTAACCACCTACCCCGCTTGGAAGAGGATGAGCCTGAGTTCAAGTTCTTAAGATGCCGTTTTGGCATTGAAAACCCTACTAGCTACCTCCATCGATCTCCTTCCTCCATCAAACTCCTTCCTCCATCGCTCCATCAAACTCCTTCCTCCGGCCATACAAACGGGGCCGCCGCATCTCCTCCAGCGACCTCCATCGATCGGCCTCCTCTCCACTCGGCGAAGCCCGATCGAGTTCCTGCGGCTGCTTGGAAACAAACGGCCGTCGCATCCCACGAGAAGCTCGGCCGCCGCATCTCCTCCATCGATCGACTTCCTCTCCACTCGACGAAGCCCGATCAAGTTGTTGCCACCTGCAAAAGTTATCTGAGGTATTGATGAAACCCTTAGTAAGAGAGATGGAGTGGCGGGGAAAATGCTGCTTCGTTCTGTTGGGTCTTAATCCACCGGAGTAAATCAATCACTCTGAAATTCTGAATGGTCAAACCTAGGGTCAATAAGCGACTAGTAGTTCTGGATCTGGAGGGGTTGGGTTTAGCTCGCTTTTTTATTTATGTTGTCAAACCTAGGGTCAATAACCTTGGACCGGCCGCTCTACATTTCGAAATAGATTACGAGCGGGAACAAGGGAAGAAAGAATAGCAAAAGCCAAAAGGAAAGACGTCTGTCTTACCTTCCGTTCCGTTCTTTTCCGTCCTGTCTTGGCTCTCCTCAAAAATTTCAAAATTAATCTTCTCCCTCTCCCTCCTTCTCTCTCTCTAAACAGTAAAACCACCAAGGAGTCGACATTCCGAGCTCCAATTTCCCGATTCTGGCTCTAGATCGAGAATTCCCGAGTTCCCCATTCTTTGGTTCTTCTTCATCTGCAAGTCGGTTCGTAGCTTCATGCACTCAGTCTCTGTCCGCGACCGACCCTCCTCATTTCACTACAGTCTCCACTCTCTAGTCCCTCCCCAACCGATTTCTTCATCCTTCTGACTGAGTGAGTTCCCGATTGTTGGGTTCTTTTCATCTGGAAGATTCGGGTTTTGCTTGTTTCAGTTTTTTGTTCTGCGTTAGTCTGGAATAAATCCGCTGCGAGCTCCTCTTCCACTTTGTAGTGCATATCTATAGCTTGCCTGTGTTAGTCACTTGCCTAATTGGGTACTGAAGCTATTAATTAATCCCCCAAAACAACAAGATCAGGGCTTCTGGTGGTTTTTATATGTCTGGTTCATTAATTAGTTCTCCATAAGTTTACCCTCGTGTTGTAAATTTGCAGATACAGACTACTTCACCAATTTATAGCCCATTTTTCTTCACTGAAACATGGGGCTGGAGGACTACCATGTGATAGAGCTAGTTGGGGAAGGATCTTTTGGCAAAGTCTATAAAGGCCGACGCAAATGCACTGGCCAGGTTAATGTCTCGTCCAAATTTTGATTCATTTCACATGCTTTTTTAAGAACATCCTCCTTGGATTCCTTTGATCTTATTGCTGTTGGTGCATCCATGGCAGACTGTTGCCATGAAGTTTATAATGAAACAAGGGAAAGCCGAGAAGGATGTTCATAATTTGAGGCAAGAAATTGAGGTAATCGAGTACTTTCTCATCCTTCCTTCGCTCTTCTTACTGTTGTTTCCTTGTTAACGCGTCATTGCTTTCCTCTTTGTCTTCTTTGTTCATCATCTGGTAGCCATTGCCATTAGACATGCTTAGGTTGATTGATTTAGATCGTGGTGCGAGGAAACTAGTGGCTTTCTAATGCTGTTCATGCATGGCATTCCCTGCAAGGGTATGGTCATAAAACATCCCAAGGAAAATCTAAAGATAGACGATGAAAGTTGTGGAAGACATTCTGTATACAGAGCAATTCTCCATTATGTAACCTTTTTTTGACAAGCTGTATGTAGTCTTTATAGCGAGTGCAATGATGATAGATGGAATAAATAATTATGGTGTTGATTGGTTTGTTATCAAGCATTCCATCTGCATTGAGTATTAATGTCCTGAACTTTCTTTGTTTTACAGATTTTGAGAAAGCTAAAGCATGAAAATGTTATTGAAATGCTTGACTCGTTTGAGAGTCCCCAAGAGTTTTGTGTTGTCACAGAATTTGCACAGGTATTACGTGGTCTTAAGTTCTATAGTAAGCTACAGAGTTCACTTAATAATCATGGAATATTATCGATCCACCAGTAGTTGATTGCTTTTTCTGAAATTCCAGGGTGAACTATTTGAGATACTAGAGGATGACAAATGCCTCCCTGAAGAACAAGTCCAGGCTATTGCAAAGCAACTGGTAGTAGTTCCACCTATGATCTCACGTCTAATCAGGCTTTCACATGATCATAACAAACCTTTAGCCTCTTTTGGTCTGAACTTATTTTGTTAAACTTTGTAGGTGAGAGCGTTGCATTATTTGCACTCAAATCGAATCATCCACAGGGATATGAAGCCGCAGAACATACTCATCTGTTCTGGATCAATTGTTAAGGTTATATTGTGAATCCAAGTTTGCTCAGGATATATTATTTGTAAATTTTAACAGCCCAACGTCAAGTTTGCTGCTGTACATATGCATCAACACATGATGCCTAGTTAGCTTAACTGCTATTAGCTTTTAAATTCATAAGCATTTTGTTTTTGTTTTCCTGTATTCACTATCTGTTTGAGTTTAGCAACAGTTGCTCATCATCACTATATTAGAGGATGTTTAAATAATTACAACTCTTGTATTAACTATTCATTTCGTCTCATGGCAGCTTTGTGATTTTGGGTTTGCCCGTGCAATGTCCCAGAACACTGTCGTTCTGCGGTCCATAAAAGGTGCTTATGCAGTATAGCTTTTTCGTGTTTAGTCCTTGGAAAATCTTCATCGCAGCCTTGGTAGTGTGACTCTGATATTGATCCCGCTCTTCAGGAACACCCTTATATATGGCTCCAGAGCTGGTCCGGGAGCAACCTTACAACCACACTGCTGATTTGTGGTCGCTTGGAGTTATATTGTATGTGGTATGACCTGTTCAGTGTTTGTGTCTGTGTCATGTCATTTCCTTATTTTATGTGGTTTACCTGATGTTCCATTTCACATTCTCCTCAACAGATATGAATTGTTTGTTGGCCAGCCCCCGTTTTACACAAATTCTGTATATGCTCTCATCAGGCACATTGTTAAGGTGTGTAAGCATATACATTAAATGGTTTTCTACTTTTAAGGTGTGCTTGTAGAAGCTAATGCCATCTTTGCTGTTGTAGGATCCTGTAAAATATCCGGATAACATGAGCTCAAATTTTAAAAGCTTCCTTAAGGGATTGCTCAATAAGGTGGCCTCATATATTCTCTGTTTTGTCTTCTGCTTCTCTTTCATTTTTGAGATTGAGGTTAATCATCGTTTTGCAGTCGCCACAAAATCGGTTGAGTTGGCCTCATCTTCTGGAACATCCATTTGTCAAAGAGATTTCAGATGAAATGGAGGGCAGGGTATTGCTATCCTTCTCAGATCCTATCTTGGCTCTTCAACTTTTTCCCTGGGAAAGAAAATTAACATTCAATGCCATTCTACACGGAACAGCATATTACTTTTTTCTCTTGACTTGCATAAAATAGATTTTACAGTTAATGGTTTATATGCATTTTCATGTTGAGTCTCTACATGACCTTTAGTTGGACAATTTAGGACATTCTCGAACTTGTGAAATTGCAGGAGGTTCCCTTTGCAGTTGCTGCAGCTTGTGAATCTGATGCAGCCTTGGATATTTGCAGAAAAAACAGCCAAAGATCAGCTGATCTAGCTGGGTCTTCTCCTGAGGGTATTGACCTTTGATCAATACAGCAAAAATTGAAAGCTAAACTATTTAGTTAGAGTTGCTATTCAAACTGCAGTACTCCAGTGCTATCTCCATCTAAATTGTCTCAATATAGTTGCAGGGAATACTTCACCAGTACCTCCTGAGGATTTTCCTGGATTTGCAAGTCATAATGATGTCAAGCACTCTGGTATATCTTGCTGTTAACCTGAAACTGGATTCACTTGTAGTTGATTTTCCTTAATGGTGTCCTTAAAGATAATGAGTTGGTTCTTTTCTGAAGTGAATGTGCTCGGCCTCTTTCCTTCTTTACTTTTTCATATTCCTCGAAGTAGTTAAAAGGTATGCTAGTAGTGCTGTAAACTTCCTGTTGATGAAAAACCAGATGTGTGTGCTTTGCTTTTTATCTTACAGAAGTCTGCGGTACCTGAAAATTTTCTTGCATGGAAATTATTCTTGCCAGTGATTTGTGTCTTGCAGTTTTCTCTTCTTTGCAATTCAGTTAAGGCTAAGTATAGAAGTTAGTCCCTTTCGTTTTCACCTTTCTCATGGTCTCGACCTCTTCATTATAAATTGATCCTTTTTTCAGGTAATCATACGTTGGACAGATTGGAAAACAACTCACGAACAGTTAAAGGCGCACAAGTAATTGGTAAAGATAACGAAGCATTGACACAAGTCTTGCTACCTCTGAGAAGGTGGTCAAAAGACTCCCAACATTCATGCAGGTCAAACTCTGCTCCACTGGCACGTGTTATAAGCTCGATAGATATCCTTGACTTTTGAAGGATGCAATGTCTCTGTAGTTCACAGATGGATTTATGTCTATATATGCTTCTCAATTGTGGGATTAAATGTGCTCTCAATTTTTACAGGGATCAAGAGATTATTTGTGCAAACCAATCAATGAGAATTCTTTCTAACTTGGTTGCTGCTGGGGCTTTCCAGTCTAGTGGACTGCTAGATGAAATACTGAGTGAACTTTTTGAGTTCACTTCCAGTATAATGAGCCTGAATTCATCTGGACTCAATGAATTACTATCCAAGGTATAGTCTTGAGGTCTGAATTTACAGGCCTTTTCTCTTGGATATATATATATATATATATGTGTGTGTGTGTGTGTGTACAGTGCTTGGAAAGGATTTTGACATTCTATACGTGTGGATGATCCATGCATCTATATTGTTTGTTTTCTCTGGTCTTGGAGGCAGTAAAGGAAGTCGAGCACATTTTGCTATTTGACGTTTGTAAGAACTATACAATTAGTCAATTATAGGAGCCAGGTGTTCCTTGAGATCCAAAAATGATTAGTATTTTCAGCTTAGCATCAAGCATAATTATTTGTCTTAACTGAGTTGAAAGTCAAATATAATATTGTGTTAACTAAAAGAGTGTACCTTCAGTTCCAATACAAAGTTAAATATAATTATTTGTGTTAACTGAGTTGAAGCCTCCAAGAAATTTATTGAAATGAGAAAATAATGTTGCTTAGAAACAGCAACTTTGTGCTAACTAAACCAAGGTCCGAATCTTAGAAACCTTTCAGATTTAAGATTGACCTCAGTTGAGCATTCAGTTATCTCTGTCAAGGTTTTGTATTGACTTGCTCCTATTTTTGTTGTTCAGTTAGTAGTTCAGTAACCAATAGCCTCAGCACGACATCTTATAAACCAAAGTTTTGCAGGTTCTCTCTGTCATAAAGCATTTGTTAGATTGTAGTGTAAGTTGCATTGCAAGTTCACATTTCACAAAACACTGGGTTGCAATGACAGAAATTTTTTCACAGGTAAATAATGTATCCCTCAACCCCGTTTCCTTTCCTGGACCACCATATGCACTGTTTCAAGCCTTTTTGTCTTATTGAAAATGCAGATTCTCAGCTCCAGTGAGGACTCTACAGGAAGAGTTGTTTATGAGGCCAGCACTTGTATCACATCTGTATTATCAAAAGTAGCAAATGCTCTCAAAACTTCAGATTCAGATACAGTTAACACTCCTTTGATGATTGAGAGATCAAAGCAGATCCTTGATCGAGCTAAGACATGTGGCTTGATGGAGCAGTTATGCATTTGCTTAGCAACCGCAGGCTCAGGCCTCATTTCTGGTTCTTCCACCATGTTGCGTACTGCTTGTGAAGCTTGTAAGGCAATCTGGTCACTGATAGATGGGGTGGAAGCTCTTTACATGAAATCAAATCCCTCGTTATTTCCTGTAACTGCTTTTCAAAGTTGTTCAATGCGCCGGCTTCAGATTCAGGACCGTGAAAGAGTCTCGTTGGTGGGAACAGATTCTACAAGAATGATTGATGCATTTGTTAGAGCTTTCTTGAGATCAAAAGCTGTTCAGGTAGCTGTCTCCTACTGTTTACGTCAACGTATGGAGACTTCACTACAGGCTACAATACAGGTGCTTCCTTATGATTTTGTAGTTATAGTTCATATCATGGTTTAATAGTGAATTATATTATATTACCCCTTATAGAGATGTTGTAAGCTCCGCTAATGACTATTTCAGATCCTTTCAAGATGCTGCCTGCAAAGTGCAATTATTCCTGGCATTCTTTGTGGCTTACCCACTTCGCTTCCTTCTACTACTGTTGTAAGTGGTGGAGGAGATGGAAGTATAGTTTCTGAAATATTCTCCGTTTTGTCATTGTGTGCTTCGTTGCTAAGCAAAGACCCTCAAGCAGGCGAAACAGCAAAGACTACGTTCGCAAATCCTTCCCTTCTAGCGACGCATTCTTGCCTCCTGCTTGCTATTATTGCTCAGTGTTTCAAATCCTCTGGAAGAAATTCTGCATTGTTTGTGCTGACCACTTCCATGAAAAAACAGCAAGCCAGACTTTCAGTTCTTGCCCACCATTTTTCTTCTGATGATGGGAAGGCTTCGCTGCATCCACATTCTGCATCAGCTATGTTGGCTCTTTCTTGTATTCTATCCCTTGAGTGTGGTACTCCTGTCGAGTCGTCAATCTCTGAAGTAGCAGTTCCTTTGATTCCTCGAACTGCCTCTCTCTGTGAACAGCTTAAGGTATTGGATGGAAATGGAACAACTAAGCCTCATAATTCCAGTGGTGCTCTATCATATTGGCATGGTCTTCGGGATGGATGTGTTGGCTTGCTAGAATCAAGACTGAAGTGGGGAGGGCCACTAGCTGTACAGCAGCTATGTGCAAGTGGCATTCCTCTTCTTCTAATTGAGTTGTTAAACCACAACCATCAAATTGCCTCTGCTCAAGAAACTGCCAGCAGTGGATATCAGGTTGGGCTCTCCCCTGCAGGGGTTGTGTGGACAGTTTCATCGATTGGCCATTGCCTTTCCGGTGGAGCTTTGGTCTACCGTCAGATTTTACTTAGGCTTGAACACATCAAGCTAGTCAGTGACTTGATATCTGAAGTTCACCTCAAGCTTGTTAAAGGGTGGGGTGGTCCAGGTGGTGGAAAGGATGGAGTGAGAGATCTGATAAACTCTGCAATTGATATGCTAGCTTTCCCTTTTGTTGCTATTCAGAATGCTCCTGGTCTGCCTGCTTCTAATGCATCTATAAACAGCGGCTTCCTTCTCAACACGGGTTCACCTGGGGGTAAAATATGCATTGAAGATAGGGCCATTGTGAAAGCAATAGAAGAAGATTTAGGGAAGTTTGCAAAAATCCTATTGGAGGTAAGATCGTGTTCTCTTTCTTTGCAAACTCGATTTTACTGTTGGCTTGTTACATGGAACTATCATGGAGTTCATACCTGACTAAGGGTTTAGCGTAGAGATAGCTAACCTCATTATCAAGATCTTCAGCATCATTTTGCATTTAAAGGCTCAGATGTCTGATATCCACTGTGAAATTATGTTTCTGATTCTCATTATCAAACCTTAGGTGGGAGTACCTAGCATTATTCTTCAGTGCCTGGAGCATGTAGAAACAAAAGATTTGGGTAGGCCTGTTGCATTTCTTGCAAAGATGGCTGGCCACAAGCCTATGGCTGTTCACCTTGTGGGCAAAGGCTTGTTGGATCCTAATAGAGTTCGAAGACTGCTTGATAGTTCATCCCCAAGGGAGGTTACATTGGATATCCTTATGATCATCTCCGACTTAGCTCGGATGGACAAGGTAGCTCCTACTACCCTGTGTTAGCATTGCTCTTCAGAAATGGCTTTTATACTCTGATTGCAAACCAAAATATCTTATATCAGTAGTCAATTATTCAGTAGAATCAATTATGAAATGGTTAAACACCTTGCTTACCCGTCCTCAAGTTTGCTAGAAAATTATAATCGTGCAATCCGTGAGTTCATTAACTTGATTGGATATTCTCTGTTTGCAGGGATTCTACGAACATATCAACCGCGCTTCTGTTCTAGAGATCTTGAAGGACTTCCTGATACATGAAGACCCTAACATTCGGGCAAAAACTTGCAGTGCTCTTGGCAACATGTGCCGTCATAGTGCCTACTTCTACACTTTACTAGTATGTAAACAAACAAATTGCACTCCAATTTTAAACTGTGGTAGTTGTGCATTTAATCACTGTTTTTGTTATCACTTTGCAGCAAAGGCATCACATAATTGGTCGCCTAATTGATCGCTGTGCAGACCCAGATAGACGTACCAGAAAATTTGCATGTTTTGCTGTAAGCTTTCTGTTTGAACTGCTTTTATATATTTAGACATTTTTTAGTTCAATTATGTTCTTATTTATTTCGTTTTGTCGTCCCCAGATTGGAAATGCAGCATACTATAACGAGATGTTATACGATGAGCTCAGAAGATCAATCCCTCAGCTAGCCAAATTGCTGCTGTCATCCGAGGAAGACAAGACGAAAGCCAATGCTGCTGGTGCATTGAGCAATCTCGTTCGCAACTCCAGCAAACTCTGCGACGAAATTGTCTCCAATGGAGCTATGCAGGTTTGTCATGCAAACTATGAACCAGAAGTGATCGCATATGCTTTCCATGCAAATGGAGGACATGTTTTAATGCACCCTAGAACGAAGATAAATTATTGTGCAACTAGAGAAATTGTTCATGGACAGATGATTCTGTTTTAATGCAGGCTTTGCTGAAGCTGGTAGCCGACTGTTCCACGATAGCCCTGAACCCAAGTAGGAAAGATGGGTTGAACGAATCTCCCCTGAAGATAGCGCTTTTTTCACTGGCGAAGATGTGTGCACACGCGCCTTGTAGGGAGTTCCTCCAGTCATCAGAATTATTTCCTGTGATAGGGCAACTGAGGCAGTCCCCGGAATCCACCATTGCCAACTATGCTACCCTCATTATCAGTAAAGTCGGCGGAACTTGAGATGGAGTTGGGGGGGTGGGGGGGGGGGGGGGGGGGGGGGGTAGTTACAGGTTAAACATCCTCGTTAGCTTTTTTAGTTCCAGAGATGTGCTGATGGGAGTGGTTGTTTTGGCGCTCGTTCAAGAATTCACAGCTGATAGTGCAAACAAGGATTGCGCGATCCTTTGTATGAAATTGTTTTATGTGCTTTCATGCTCAAAAACTGATGTAGATTGGAGCATGTGACATTCTGATAGTGAGCAATTTGCAGTTGATCAAGCAACTTATGCAGCCACGAAATTACCAACTGGAAATCATCTCTGACGTACCATTTCTCTACAAAGTTACATCATGTGGTTGTATGTGAAGTTATGTTTCTAACAGCGCTACCATTCTCATCTGTTCATCGTCGTGGATAATGGTCGATGGCCTGGAAGCTTCTAACAGCAAACAAGGTATGTTCTCCTATTTGATGCACATGTTGCTTTGTCTTGGCAAATGCATTAAGAATACTTGATCTTATGGTTAAACCTTGTGAAGGTTTTGCTTGATTTCCAAGGCAGATTTGCAGAGAGAGAGAGAGAGAGAGAGAGGAAGAGAAAGAAAAGGTTATAAAACAAGGAAGGTTCCCGTGAGTCACATTTGATAATAATTTGAGATTCACAACATAAAATCCTTTAAACGTTTTGAGTAACAGGGTCATGTTCATCATTGCTTTATGCCATTTTCCTTACTCAACAAATTACTCCAACAAAAGGTTGTAATCTGTGGAAACCCAACAACATTGATGTGATACCAAAATGAGCAAAGAGTACCCCTCTCATGGGGAGCATTGTTTAGTTAGTTACAAATCGAGCAATGAGTTGACGAAATCGAAGGAAATGAATAGATTAAATTTGGATGAAAATATCTCTAGTTATTATAACATAAAGGAATATTTTCATAATCAAATTACTTCAATATGTAGGGCGCTGAGTTGGCATCTTAGTCAGCGTTTCGTTTAGATAACTGACGGTCACACTAACACTGTTAAAGTTTGTAACGGAAGTGGCTAGATTTGTCATACGATAATTCAAATTGTGGCTATTTTGTGTATTTCTTCAAAAGTGGCTATTATTGTCATAAAGGTGAAAGTTTTGGCTATACATATGTATTTTGCCTAATAAAAATAAAACAAATTATTTTTTCTATTTTTTAAATCATGTGGGTCTAGCTGGACATCACATGGCATCCACCTAAGCTTAATTTTGACTTAACTGACGGTGTTGTTGACGATGTTAAAGTATGTGATGGAAATGGCAAAATTTGTCAAACAAGTTTTAAAAGTGTGGCTATTTTAGTGTATTTTTCAAAAAAATGGATATTATTGTCCAAATTTGAATAGTTATGGCTATAAATAAATTCTATTGGTTGTTGGGTTTTCAGTTAGTTGTAGGAAGTTATACCTTAATTAGTTAATAAAAGGTATTTAGGGGATTGTAATTAATATTAAAATTATAATAATTAACCCTAATAAGGAGTTTACCCACATGTTGGCCAATTTACCCAACCCTAATTAGTATTGAAATTCCGGCTTTTGTTCCTCCCTTCCCGATCACAACAGTAAGTCTCTCCGTCCGACGTCGACGCTCCTGATTTCTGCAAGGACCTCCTCTTCCCCCGCTCCTGCTACGCCGGCTGCTTCGTTGGACGCCGGCAGGCCTTATGGACCTCTTCTTCTCCATTCCTGCTACGCCGGCTGCTTCGCTGGATCAGCCGGAGCTGCGGAGGCCTTCTTGAAAACCCACGACGTCAACTTCTCCCGAAGGCCTCCCGCCCACTCCGCCGACTTCCTCTCATGCGGCTGCACCGACATCGTGTTCGCCCCCTACAGCGACTACTAGCGCCAGCTCCGCAAGATGTGCACCGTCGAGCTACATTATTAACATTGTTCCACTTTCTGCATTTTAACAAAATACTGTTTTCAATAATATTAAGCTACATTGTTAAACTGACGCAGCCGTGACTCGACGACGACGTGAATCAGCCGTGATGCAGTGGCTCTAGGTCGGGATTGCACCCAGAACGCGATGGCTAGCCGGCGACTGGTTTGCAGTCGTATTATGGTTCGGAGGAGGCCGATTTTTCCGATATGAATTTTCAAATCAATAGTGAGGTATCGCAAATATGGTTTCTACTGTTTTCCTTTTTAATTATTAATCACATTAAATTTTTATTATATTCTAGTCTTACTCTTTTAGGTAGTTAACTAATTATTACTAATATTTTTCTCTCCCCTTCTCCTATTGGCTGGAGATGGTTTAAGATCTTCCTTAAGGATTAGACTTTAAGGACCTGATTTGATCCGGTATGATAGATATAAGAATTAAGAAACACTAGCAGCACACTTCCTTCTTTTCTTCAATTTCGTCTTCTCACCTCTCTTTCTTCCTCCGCAAATAAAAAAATAAACTCACTCTCTCTGTGAACCAATGGAAGGAAGAATACACCTTATTCTCCTTCACCCTCGAACAATTCACCCCTAGTCTAGTCTCCACCTCTTTTCTCATTTTTCCGTCCACGTAAAATAAAAGAGGGCTTATGGCGGCGACAACATCGAAGCCGTCAAGCCGTCCATAGTCGCTTCATTCTTCATTTGAGTTAAGAAGACAAGGAGATTGGAGTAAGTACGTGCAAAATGGTCGAGGGAGTTTCTTCCTTCAAATGAGTGTGGCGGATAGCCTATTTTGAGTGATTAGTAACTCGTATCAATGACTAATCGGTTAATTGCTAACTGTCTGTTATTAATCACTTATGATTTGGTAACTCGATAAGAGGATCTGAGCTTCTGTAAAAGACCCGCATTCTCCCTAGCGGAGGACATTTTAACCATTAATTGTCAGTTAGCGGTTAAACCGGCGTAACTGTTTATCATCCTCACTGACCACTTATAGAGGGGTCGGATACTATGCTAACCCCTAAAGGGGTAGTGGTTTTTGACACCCTCCTCTTGATTGGTCACTTTTCCATTTAAGCTTTTTACTTTATTTATTGTAATCTTGTAAATTGGGAAAGCCTTAATTGTGATAATAATTATGAATGGGGAAGGAGAAAAACGTTGGTAATTATGAATGGGGAAGGATCTGGGGAAAAACGAAATCACCCCCATTAATTACATAATTAATTTCTCTCACTGGTACATTAATTACACGTACCACTCCACTGGTACACGTACCACTCCACTGGTACACGTACCACTCCACTGGTACATGTACCAGTGGAGTGGTACGTGTACCAGTGGAGTGGTACGTGTAACCATATGTCATGTTTAGGTTTAAAAAATTGTGAAGACTTTATGTTTATTCACATTCGAAGGATAATTTATTGCTTTTGGCATTGTTGTTGGCATTTCCCTAATTTTGCAACCCATTTTGGAACACAGTTTTTGGCTACTAATGGAAAGTTCCTATTTTTTCCATATTATTGTTTATCATTGTTATGAAAAATATCATTGCACTGGTATTGTTCTCACTCTAACCTACCTTGTGGATTGCTCGCACCAGTGGAGTGGTACGTGTACCATTGGAGTGGTACGTGTACCAGTGGAGTGGTACGTGTACCAGTGGAGTGGTACGTGTAATTAATGTACCAGTGAGAGAAATTAATTATGTAATTAATGGGGGTGATTTCGTTTTTCCCCAGATTCTTTCTCTTTTCCAATGTGGTGAGAGACCCCAAATTACAAGATTAAAAAAAATAAAAAATCAGTTTAATTAATACTTGCCAATGATTGGAAATAAAATTGGCCAATCATAAAGGGGGTGTCAAAAATCACTACCCCTTTAGGGGTAGTCACGCTAACTGATCCCACTTATAGAAGCATCAAGACCGTTAATTAATTAAATTTATGATCGTCGGGAAATCTTTTTGTGGAAATTAATTAAACAGGCTGAAGCACCGTGGGCCGGACTGGAGCGGGCTGAACCAGCACGGAGACTGTTATTTGGCCATCATCGACCCTGCTTCCGGCGACCAGCCTCTCGAAAAGAACATCGTCGTCACCGTACCGTCCTATTTCCTTCCGTCCCCTCTCCGTTTCGCCGCCGGTTGATTAAACCTTGACCGGGAATTGAATCATTTTACAGGTGAATGGAGAAATATACAACCACGAGGAGCTGCGGAAGCGCTTGCCCAATCACCAGTTCCGGACCGACAGCGACTGTGAAGTCATCGCTCATCTGGTTGCTCCTCCGTCCCTTTCTCGGTGAATTTAGCTAGCTGAACTCTGTTTCATACTTTGATCCATCGCATTTTCAGTTGGGTGATTGTTTTTGCTTGACAATGATTTAGCTTGTTCTCTGCGATTGCTGCAGTTCGAGGAATATGGGGAAGATTTCGTGGACTTGTTGGACGGAATGTTCTCGTTCGTGCTGTTGGACACTCGGGACAATAGCTTCGTCGTTGCTCGGGACGCCATTGGCATCACCTCTCTGTACATCGGCTGGGGACTCGACGGTAAGGTGTTTCAATCTTTTTTCTTTTCATACGCATGAATGGTTGTCGGCCAAATTCGGACTGGAAGGAAACAGGATAAACTGTTACGTGACATAGAGATTGATATCTTTGTTCAGGCTCTATTTGGGTTTCTTCTGAACTGAAAGGTTTGAAGGATGATTGTGAGAATTTCGAGTACTTCCCTCCCGGCCATTTATACTCCAGCAAATCCGGTGGATTGAGGCGATGGTATAATCCACTATGGTTCTCTGAGGCTGTTCCTTCCTCGCCCTACGACCCAATCGCTGTCCGAAGCGCTTTTGAGATGGTGACAATAACTGATTGTTAATTTTGTTGTGCTGAGGGAGAATGGGAGATGAAGGAAGATGGTGCTTATTGTTCTTGGTTTACTAGAATCAATACCCGCGGCTACACCGCAGGACATATATTCATGTTTGGTATATGTGATCCCAGTATACGTATAATTAAAACGTTAGAAATTATATACATGAAGCATCATACGTTTTACTCAAAAACCTAACACTCCTGCTATGACAAACACAATGATTATATACAAAACATTAGTCTAACTACCCAAGAAAATACTTTTTTAGAGATGACAGATGAAACTCATTACTTCATACAAAAAATAAATACATGCCTATGCTAGCTTTCTAAAAATTTAGCAATCTTTATTAAAAAGAAGCAATCATCAACTATACCCAACGAAAGTGTAGTAATTTAATAAATACGAAGACTAAGACATTCAAAAGCTTCTTCCTGCTTTACAACCTCATGTCTGAGCTCTGCAAATTCTGCCATGGATTTCTTTTCTCTCACTTCTGTCTTTGGTTTGTTCTTATGGTCTGGACTTTATTTCATAAGTATCCTCTTGGACTCTTTTAATGCAAATGCAAACCCCAATTGCTCCTCAGAAAGAAGCTTGATCAAAACCAACATGTTTCTTGCCAAAAATAAAAAGAATGTAAAGCAAGCAGAACACCTGCAAACGGCAGAAGCCAGGAATAGTTAACAATAGGCAAAACTAAATCCAGAATTGACAGAATAAGAATTTAAAGCGCTGTCTCTAGAATGGTAAAGAAAGCAAAGTTGCAACATCGATTCTGGAAGCTTCACTTTCTGATTCTGCAGCAACTTGAAGTGGCCTAAAGCTTCACTTCAACTAATATAAAGTCCAAACCAACATCATGAATTGCGACAAATCTATGGAAGCACATCTGAGAAAAAAATAAGCAAACGAACAAAGTAGGAGCAGGAAGAAGATAATTTTGTGGATCTGGAGTAACACATAAGAGCATACCAGCAGGTGTTGTCGGTACTGCTAGTCATGTATGTTGTCGCCACGATCTGGAGTAACACACAATGATGAAATTGGAGTGACCTCTTTGAATATAAGATTAAGCCTCTGCACCAACTCCTTAACCGTGTTCCTCTCCCATCAAAGCGAATAAAGCAGCATCCCACCGCTCAACATCATAGCAAGAAATTGAGGATAAAGAACTGACATAAATTCACAGTAGAGGCTAAAGCACTGAAATGAGCAAATACGACGTATCATTATTCAAGAACTTGCTTGTTGTAGGCAGAAATCACAGATGAGTAGGCCTCCTTTATCAACCGCAATTTTGAATCCATCACTTATGCAAAAAAAAAAAAAACCTATACTTTGGCTGCATTTTGACATCCTGCAACACCAGCTTATGAAGACAATGTAAGTATAAGAATCAGCCAATAACCTTGTCATATTCCCCAACATTCATATAAGCAGGACAGTCAAGACTAAAGCATCAATGACCATTGAGATTTCAGAAACTGATTCCGCTATTACAAATGTATTTACTCTGCATTCCCAAGGTCAACATCAGTGAAAGGTAGGAAAACCTCAAAGCAAATTCGACCAAACCAAAATGGGCACCATAAAATATGATATATCTGCTCCGAGTCAATCTTGTATCCCTCTATATCTCACTGGAGTTTCTCTGGAGATGCGATTGGAAGAGATTAACAAAAACCAATTTTATGTGATTATAGAAGTTGCTCAAAACATAGCTGCAGTGTAAATGGAAAGCATAGGACGGATGATTGACAGCAGTTGATTGTCAGATAGATATGGAGATATAAAGTTTACCTTTTGTGAGTAATTTCAGGTCCAAGTTCAAACTTTATACACCAGTAACACCACCATGGGAACTGTCAACCGAGAATAAGGACTTACTTCAGCCATGAAGACAGAACATGGTACCTGCAGTAAACAAAAGAGACATCATGAAGACAAACTTCACAACAAAGATGATGATTAAATAGAAATCCAACATGAGCATACAGCTCTAGTGGCACATATGGCATTGAAAAGCTAGAAGTAAAAGGTCAAGACATTTCTTGTATGTACCAAATGGCCATTCCTTCCTACCAGCAAAATCTCAAAATTCAGAACCCACATTGTCAGATCCAACAAAGATCTCAAAATCCAGAACCCACATCGTCAGATCCCACAAAGATCTGAACTTGGAACATAATTTAACTCAAATCTACAACTAAAAAAGATGGAGAAAAACCGAAGAGAAAATCCACTCACCGGCGTCTTCGCCAGCCCTGGTGAGTCCGCCTCTTCCTCTTAGGTAAGGCCCCTCCTCTCCGGCCATTGTTCCTCTGCATATCTCGCTTTCATCCAGCGAGTCAATCTCGTTGACTCTTTCAGCGTGCCGATTTCTGGGTGGACAATCAAATGAAGTCAGTTGCGGACAGGACTTTTTCCAATCGAATGTCGCCATCATTGCCAATGTGTCAACGTCGCCGGCATCCTCTTCCTCTGCATCGGCCTCCACCTTCCCTGCCACTGCCGCCTTTCTCCAACACTCTCCTCCGACGCAGGCTCCTCAGTCGCCAACCATTTATGGTGGTTGCGGAGTGAGATATTCGAATCCCTCATTTCCCAGCCATAATCGCCGACGACAGGGATCCTCCTGCCCAACAAATTTGAATTAAACGATGAGAGATATTTTCTTCCCTTTTCCTCCTTGTCGACTGAGCGAGAGATATAGAAAGAGATTTCTTCTTACCCTTTCTTATTCATTGATTTGTGGTGAAGATGAGGTAACCAGAGAAGACATCTCTTCTCCTAAGCACAGTGGAGTAGTTGCTGCGGCCGTACAATGCATGGCGCGATGCAAGTCCCTGCACCAGGACACCCAAGTAAAAAAAGGGAAAGATCTAGGTAAGAAAGGGGAGGCAATTTCGTGAGCAAAAGGGTGCAAAGCAGACTAAACTCACCAATTCATTCGTCCACAGTATCGCAAACTCGGAAAATCCATCCTGGCACAATGTATCTCCAGTAATCCATGCATGGAGAAGGCGTAATTTCAGCGCCGGAGCCTTGTCGTTCCATGGTGGGTGAGGAGGAAGAGGAAAGTGGAGTGCAGGCGAGAGAAATTGGGGAATGGGGTCCAATATGATTTCCAACGAAAATTCAATGAGAAGAATGCATAGAAGCGACGCGGAATCCGAGAGATGAGGACACTGGACATGACCAGAGGGAACATGGGCGCTGGCGTGTCAAAGAGGTAGCGGCGTCGAGAAGCAAACCGGAGTGGCGGAGTGGCGGGGAAGAGGTGTTTCCAGGATTTGGGGGAAAAGTAAAACCAAACCTGCTGTGTACGAAAGATTTGGGGGACCAGAGCTGAGGGGGAAAGGAGGCCAAGGCAGAGAGGTAGAAGCAAGAGGAAGCCGCTCGTAGAAGTCCGCAAAAGACGACAAAGAATGCTATAGTAAATAGCGGTTTTGGCAATAAAGCGTACCTACTCTTTATATTTTAAAGAAAGAATGACGCAGGCTGTGATCAAGAGATTGATGACTGATGTTCCTTTCGGTGTTTTGCTCTCTGGTGGACTGGATTCCTCTCTAGTTGCTTCCATCACCGCTAGGCACCTGGCGGGAACTCGAGCTGCCAAGCAATGGGGTTCCCAGCTTCATTCCTTCTGTGTTGGCATTGAGGTGAAATTTTCAAATGTTCCAGCTTTAATTCTTGAATTTGGCTAGTCCTCCGGTGAGCAGGATTGTTCCCTGTGATTTAGGAATATTTGGTTTTTGAGAATTCGTTCTTGTCTGGATCTTATGCAAAGAAGAATGTATTTCCTGGAATACATGATAAGATCTATTAGCCAAAGAATACATTTACAAATCCATATGTAGAATGCATTAATCTCTTATGAAACATCTATTTCACATGCATTGGTGCCTATAGATACCCTCAGCGTTCTTCACTTGTTTATTTTGTAGGGGTCTTCTGACTTGAAGGCTGCAAGAGAAGTTGCAGACTATCTAGGAACCATCCACCATGAATCCACCTTCACAGTTCAAGATGGGATCGACACGATTGAAGATGTGATCTATCACATCGAGACGTTTGATGGCACCACCATTAGGGCAAGCACACCTATGTTCCTGATGGCCTGGAGGATCAAGGCTATGGGTGTGAAGATGGTCATATCTGGTGAAGGCTCTGATGAAGTGTTTGGTGGGTATCTTTACTTCCACAAAGCACCTAATAAGGAGGAGTTCCACCGTGAGACGTGTCGCAAGATCAAAGCACTTCATCAGTATGATTGTTTGAGAGCCAACAAGGCCACATCTGCTTGGGGGTTGGAAGTCCGAGTTCCGTTCTTGGATAAAGAATTCATCGACGTTGCCATGGCTATCGACCCTCAGTGGAAGATGGTACGTATAAATATGCCTAAGCTTGGGGGTTGGTTCTGTCTTTTTAGACTCGTCATTTATTTTACTAAGTTTTCATGTGTACTTGGTTCTAGATTAAGCCAGAGGAAGGAAGGATAGAAAAATGGATTCTCCGGAAAGCTTTTGATGATGAAGAACGCCCTTATCTACCTAAGGTTGATTCTATTGCCAGATTCTGTGCCGTCGATTCATATTAACAACTGAGGTGGAAGTTTAAAATGATCATGTTTGGCTTTCCTTTCCACAGCATATCTTGTATAGGCAGAGAGAGCAGTTCAGTGATGGTGTCGGATATAGCTGGATTGATGGCCTCAAAGCTCATGCTGCGAACATGTATGCATATCAATCTCAGCCTTACTACTTCAACTGCCTCTTCTTTTCCATTGAATTTAGTATAACTTCTGATTTGTTGCTTCTGCATGAAACCCCTCTTAGGTGAGCGATAAAATGATGCAAAATGCTGCTCATATCTTCCCGCACAACACCCCTAGCTCCAAAGAAGCTTACTACTACAGAATGATATTTGACAAATATTTCCCACAGGTGAACAGAACATTAGAACTTAAAACTATAGAATGAATGTAGCTTGAGCCTTCCAGAAGCTAATTTGGGTAGTTTCTATGGATTGAATGTACAGAATTCAGCCAGTGTGACTGTTCCTGAAGGAGCAAGTGTGGCATGCAGCACAGCCAAAGCTGTGGAATGGGATGCTTCCTGGTCAAGCAATCTTGATCCTTCTGGCAGAGCTGTGCTGGGAGTTCATCAAGCTGATGCCGTGGATAATGGAAATAAAACCTGATACGTGGTACGTGAGTGATTGATATGTATACACGGTCTAGTTTATGCTCCTCGCTCTATCTCATCGTTGTAGAAGTCAAAACTCAGGCCACTCGCCTAGAACCAGGATCCCTTGGGATGAAATTTCTGGTCATACTGGTTCCACTGTTACTCGTTGGCTGACGAACTCGCGATAAGCTTGCTCGTAATGATTTTTTTAGCTAATTTATGCTTTTTGTATGTTTGCAGAGGTAATTGAGTCAAGTTTGTGGTCTGTTTTGGTAACCAGATGACAATCTAAGTGGATACAGTACAAGCTGTTCCCGCTTTATATTTCCGTCTTTAATTTGTTGTTACCTTCAATAAATCAAGGACCCTAATGTACTATGGAGGAGTCGCATCCCTTCAGCAGCAATGTCAACATTTAGATACCGTGATCCATGTCGTGGTTGGCTAAAACGAAATGTTAGTGCAGCTCTGGTGTGCAGTCCTTTGAAATGCTAAACGTACCAATGCCACAAGTGTATTATTTTGGTCGAAATCATAGGCATAGTCAATACATGACACATGTACGTTTTGGTAAAAATAGGTATTTTCTTAGTACGTTAAAGCTTATTTCTTGATTTTTTGGTTATAATGACATTGATTCATTAAATTGGAAAAAAATCTTCCATTGTAATAATTTATATTTTGAAAAAATAAATTCAACTTCTGATTCCGTCACAATTTTCACGATCAAGGTATGATCTATCTCTAAAGAGAGGTTTTTGTCTGTGAAGAACAAAAATAAATGAACTTTAAAATAGTCGGCGCATCAGTTATTTCAGAAATCTTGACACGAGAGATTTTGAAATCTCTTACATTCTCTCGCCTTGCCAAATGTATAATTCTGTCAAAACTCCTCCCCAAATGACTAATCCAAACGAGCCCTCAATGATTTTGAGTTGGTGCAACGTGAGAACAAACTTTTTTTTTAAGGCTACAATATCTTGGGTTCATACTCTAATGGACCATTTGCTTCATAAATTTGAAATGTGAAAATTTTGGATAATTTTTTTTTGGATTTTGTAAAACCATGGATTTATGGTAAAGTTGGTCTATTATAAGTTTAGATGTATAAAAATAATTGTTTGTTTTGCTAAATTTCATGATGGACTTTGCTTAATTGGATTTTTTGGTATGACGAACCATCATGGTTCTAATTTATCTCGGTGAAACAATCATGGAACACAAGCTTGAGGAAAGTCGGAGTGATTCGAATAATGACTATGTAAAGCTTCTCGACGACGTCTGAGGATCCTCAATTTGATTCTTGTTATCTTTGAATGTATGCTTGTGTAAGGGTTGGCAGCAACTGATGGAAGTTGTGATTGTGTTTTTAGACTGCTCTACATTGCGGAGGAGACCTTGACAGAGTTCCTATCAAAGGCTAGAGGAACTGCTGTCGATTGGGTTCAGATGCCTGGGTTGAAGGTATTTCGACTTGAACTCAAGCTAGTTGTGCTGGATCTGGCTCAAGCTCGGCTCATTAGTTAACGAGTTAGTTAACGAGCCAATTAACATGAACTTTGAAATCGTACAAAATCAAATAAATCGTGTTTTAAGGATTTTAAAGTTTTAAATTTAGATTTTATGAAATTTTAAGGTTCAATGATTTAGTAATAAAATTAGGATCGAAGCCAATATAGAAGATCGTAAAATCATAACATTTTAACATTAAGATCATGGTTTGCAACTACAATGTATAAAACCACACAGTAGAAAACTTTCCTCCACATGAAGTCCAATCGTTTATGGTACACAAAATAATTTTCATATTGAGGTCGACGCAGTAGCGGATCTCCCGCAGGTAATAGATGGTAAGGTATCCTATTTCTACCTAAGGTAAGCATACTGGATATCTGCTGGCCTATACCCTTGCCCTGGAGTGATGGAAACATCTGCAAGTCTTTTTCCCACTTCGACAAATCGTGTTAGCATATCTGCGGAGTAGAAGTACATCTCCACGGTTTCCCCTGAGTACCTTCCATGTTAGTTCCACTCGTAGCTCCAGAATTCGGGGGTGGAGGTATTGGTCGTTTGTGATTCGCAGCTGGGGCCACATCCTTTGAAGGTTGTCATACGTTCCCCAAGACAATCTCTCCTATTGCTCCAAGCAAAAAATAAGGATATGTTATCAACATGAAAGAAGAATAAGAAACCATAAAAAAAAAACGATCTATACCACTAGATTAATATACGAAACCGTTCGCGTTGGTTGCCCACAAGCCGTGAATTGCGAAAAAACGTGGAATGGGGAGGGAGCATGGTGGTTCCACCATGCATAAGGTAGAAGGCCACTGGAGAGCCAATACATAAAAAGTCAAATGCTAACAAATTGTAAACATTTGACAGAAGGAAAATGATTATGAGTATGGCTGACTTTGGCATTGTTATTTTTTTCCTTCCGGTAAGTTTTTTTTTTATAATGGTGATGATTGTATTGAAACCAAAAGGCAAAAAAGAAACCGTACATGACAAGAAGAAAAGAAAAAGAAAAGAAAGGAAAAGAGCAATTCACAAGTATTGGAAAGTGGAGTTTGCTGTGATTGGATTTTGTTTTTTTTGCTTTTGTCATTTATAGAGGAGAAGGTAAGCTCTTTAGGTAGCTCACACCATATGTATCTTTGGGAATTTGGTGAGTTATTGCCTCACATAGGCTTCTTGATGTTAGGTGGCTCACACTTGGCTGGTGGGCGGGAAGAGAAGCTTTTGGCGCATTGCCATTGGCGGTGTCCCAAAAAATTTTGGCCCCTGTTTTTTCCAGTCTCCTACTGGAAACTGAATATCAGTTCCGTCGGTGGTCTCGCCCAAACCTTAATCGAAAATCTAAATCGGCGATGCTTCCCAACCACAATTTGAAATCGTAATCACCCACCCTCCTATTTGCCACTCTCAAATCCGACCCGCGAAATCCCTCCCGGCGACCTCTCTGCTCATCGAAACTCTCCTCATCTCCCACCTTCTGTTCGGCCACAATCAATCTGAAATCCAAACCCCTCCACCGTCGCCCCTCTCTCTACTTCGCCGGTCGACGCAGTCTTTGTTGGCATCTGGATCTGCCTTGGAAAGCCCCAGAAAAAGAAATCTACCTCATCTCCCACTTGCAATTCAGCCACTCTCAATCCGAAATCCAAATCCCCCAGCGTCTCCCTCTCTCTACTTCGTCGTTCGTCGCTGTCTTTGTCGGCATCTACTCTGCATTGGAAAGCCTAAGTTCCAATTTTTTCAGTTCTCGGGAACATGGGTGTTGCCGTCATCCGTCCAGCGGAACATAAACCTTGAGAGTTGAGACTTGAGTCGTTCATTTTTTGTGTGGTGGGGTTGTTTGAGATTTCCAAGTTCTCGATTCAGACGCAATCAGTGTTGAGAAACCACTTGTTGAACGACCTGGCCTTGATGGTCGGAGAGAATCTGATGGAAAAAGGTCTGGCTCGTTCACGTCGCCGATTACCGGCTTTAATTAGCCGGATTTCCAAGAAAGTAGTAATAACCTAGCATTGTGAAGCATTTCATCTAGTAAGGTGTATGACAAAATAATTCATTAATGAGGATCTCCAACTGAATCCGAATTGATTTGAACGGGAAAAGACTATTGATATTGTTTTTGGGTAGATTCTTTTCGAACTCAATAAAGAGGATAATGGATTTGGTGCGGGTTTAGTATTTAAGTACTCGCATCCACCGAACTCACTCAAGTATGTTCTACAACTATGATATATATAGGCTCATTAGCTTCAACATTTCGGTCATCTACATCCCTCTAGTATTGTAAGTATCTCTTATACAAAATTTTCTTCATTTTCCCTCATTTTTACCAACAATGTCTTAACAAAATTTCAAAGTATTGATTCTCATTTTTACTAAGATTACTAGAAAGGTTTTGTGACAACATACACGACATCCACGTCAGCATGAATTATTAAATCACCAGCAAATCGATAAAACTGTTAATACAAGGTTGAAATATGAAACACTAGATAGTAACATCGCATGTAAATAGATGAAGTGCCATCGGATGCACGAAATTAGATGAACAAACCTAGTTTAGAAAACATAAACAACATCAACATCACCCGCATTGTACATACTCTCATTTCATGCATAAACCTTCCGTATAATAGGATTCCACACATCTGCCAGCTTCTGCATACTCTTCTCATATTCTTCCTTAGAAGCATTTCCATTCCGTCCAACCACTCTGAAGCTTCTCTCACTGCAGCCTTCACCTTCTCCTAGTCACGTGACCACTTATTGGTACCAATGTTACGATTGTTCAGAGAGCCCTTGACGTCGTATATGTACCTCTCGAATCGGTTCCTCGCCTCTGGCGCGCTCCTTGGCCCGTTTATCTTCATTGGTCATCTGCTCAGCCTCCCTCACCATCCTCTCCACCTCTTTCTCCGTCAGATTTCCTTTCTATCCCTTGGCGACGAACGATTTCGAGTTGTTCGTCGCGTTGTCCTCCACGAGTACGCTCAAGATCCCGTTGGCATCGATCTCGAATGTCACTTTCATTTTGACAACACCCCTTCACAACATATATACGGAGTTTTCTTCTTACTAACAACTCAGGCTTGCAAAAGATGTATATCAACACATTGTGTACATTAACTTGGAGCCGGTGGAAGGTCTCGTAGACTAATCCTTCCAAGCTCAAGGCAATCCTTGGTCATCACTCTTTCACCTTGAAATATCTACACAGCGGAAGTTCAATACGATTATATGATGTGTTTCAAGTTGTAAATTAATTTTCAGCAGGCTAGCTAGCTAGCTAGGTTAAATTATCAAAACAAACCTTGAATGTAATGGTGGTCTGGTTGTCCTGGCTAGTGTGATAAATCTGTGATATCTTGGTCAGAATAGAAGTGTTTCTTGGGATCACTACCAACATCACATCACCAACAACGTTAATCCCCAAGCTTAGGGGAGCAACGTCATGTAAGGTAATACCTGTAGTACCAATAAGTATGTATTAGGATCCTCATTAGCCAATATATTGAAATTTTTTATAATAAGTAAAAAAAAACACAATAAGAAACACGTAATTCATTCTCATACCGAATTATTTGGTGGTATGAAATTACAGTGAGACTTAGTATAACACCGTTTGCTTCATGAATTTGAAAATGAAAGTTTTGGTTAAAACTTGGGTTTTGTAAAATCATGAATTTCTGACGGAGTGGTCCATTATGAATTTGGAAAAAAACAATGGTTTGCTTGCTAGATTTGGGTATGAAGTACCACGAGGGTTGAAATACAAATTACTTTATGAAGTGATCGTGGTGTAAGCCTGAGGAAAATAAGAGTGATGTGAAGATTGACTCTATAAATCTTATTGACGACATCCCCTACAATTTTCTCTGCTTGTGAACAAGAATCACGATATAAATCTTACTCGAGCAACTTCTCGCAATTGCCTACATCTTTACAATTCACACTTCACATCGTAATATCTCTCTCTCTCTCTCTCTCTCTCTCTCTCTCTTTCATGGATTGCTTGTTGGAAAAAGAGGGACGAGGGTATTTGTACGAAGCCCAAGACCGGGTGACTAGGATTGTGATAAAGTCGTGAACAAAGTTCACTTTTCGTAAAGAATATTTCCACCCTCAGTCAAGCCTAGGGTTACAGGAAATTTCTTCGTAGGATAAAACTACCACCACTTTAGAATCTAGGCTTAAGAAACTAAAGCACACTTAGAAGTTTTATTATGGAAGAAATAGAATATGTCTGTTCCTGGTGTGCGTCTTCTGTGTCCCACAACCAGCCGAGTCCCTCTATTTATAGAGAGCCAAGCGTTGCATTAAAGGATTGCATCCTTTCAATTTGTGTCCCAATTCGGAGGAACCATTTATATTGAAACGTTGCTTTGTTTCGTTTCACATAAATGAAGCATTGACATTATCCAACTACCAAAACGTTGTTCCATTTCTTTAAACAAAAATGAAGAGTTGCCATTATCTGTTGCCAAGAGTTGCCATGTCAAACTACATATAATTTAATTTTAAACTGAAACTCATCAATTCCAATGGCTAACTGCCATGCAACATGTTCATCCTGTCCAAATTAAAAGGACATGGACTTAATAAGGCTTGGCATCATATTTTACCGGAACTAACAAAGCTGGAGTTACAATTATAGGTGTCAATCGGGCGGGTTCGGGCGGGTTCAATCGGGTTGCGGGTTAATCGGGTTGCGGGTCAAGCGGGTTGCGGGTCAAGCAGGTTCGGGTTGATCGGGTTGCGGGTTGATCGGGTTCGGGTTGATCGGGTTGCGGGTCGATCGGGTTACGGATTGATCGGGTTGCGGATCAATCGGGTTCGGGTTGATCGGATTGCGGGTTACAACAGGTCGGGTTGCGGGTTGTTCGGTCCAAACCATCGAGTTTTTTTAATAATTAGTTACTACACTAATTTAAAACAAACTCACCGATCACCATATTGCAATGAAAAAAACATGAAGATACATTATTAAACAAATGAGTGACTAGATTTTGCTTCAATATATCATAAACAAGTTTGATGTTGCAAAGGATTCATTAAGGTTACAAAACCAACATAAGAAATTAAAAAGCTGACAACTTGCTTGATCATAAACCAATGAAACAATCTCTTGAGTCTTGATAGTTGAGACCATTACATGATGTTTAAGCAAATACAATATAATGAAATACAGAAAAGTAGGGCTGGGCATGCGGGCGGATCATCCGCGGGTTTGGGCCGACCCACCCGCATTTGACCCGAATTTCGTTAAGTGGGTGGGTCTGTGGGTGGGTGACGGGTTGTGCTGGGAGCCATCCGCCGGGTGGTGGGTGGGTTGTGGGTGAGTGTGCGGGTGACCCGCTCAACCCAACAACAAAAAGATCAAAGTCGTTGGCGCTAGAGAGAGGAGAGTGGAGACGTTAGATATAAACTCGGACTGCTCCTGGAGTTTGAACCTCAAAGTCAACCTTCCAAATAGAGATCCCCTCTTCTTCCCTTTACTTTTCCCTCTAATTCTTGTGGCTAGATCACCGCTCTTTCCTTTGTGGAATTATTTTCCTTAGTTCCTTGCACCTAATAATCGTCTCAATTTGTATAAAACTCTTTCATAATAGAATTTCTATCCAATTTAAGAACTAATTCGACATTTTTCGCCCTATTTCAACTTCTTGTTTCCCTCGATGATTCTCTTCACCTATTATCAGTCAAGTTGACTCCTTTATATTATATACATTGTGATGTGGGTGAACCTACAAACCCACTCGCATCATCCACCATCCGCCCGACCCAACCCGAGACTAAATGTGGGTGGGTAGTGGGTTAAAAATTATCAATCCGTTTAAGCGTGGGTGGGTGCATTTCATTGTCAAAATCACCCGACCCACCCAATGCCCACCCCTACAGAAAAGTACATAAGGCTCCATTAATCTTGAAGATTTCTACTCATTGCACATCTTAAAATTTTATTTGTTACACATGTAAATGGTCACGAATTAATCATTTTTCTACTCATTGCATTTATAACCTGATTGTCAATACAATCAAGAGTCGTTTCAAATGCCATTAATCCATTAAAACTAAAACTACAATTGAGGAGTTTAATTCGTATAACATCATAACAAAATAAAAGCTATATAAATCTAATTGATTATATCACATGATCTAACCATACAAAGCTATAAATAAAAGCTATACAAATCTAATTGATTATATAACATGATCTAACCATACAAAAGATATTAGAAGTTTTAGATTACAGGGCTTCTTATAAAAAAAAGTTCTGGATTAAACTTATACAAAATATGTTGAGTAGTTGCTATCCTTCCTCCCTCGAAACAAGATTCACAGTCCACCAACTATATGTTCTGCAACTTCAGCTTCATCTCTACAGTGCCTGTAATATATATACCTTGTCAAAGTGGGTGGTTTATTTTGCCAGCATCTGCACAAAGTGAAGATACGTAAGAAAGTCAGGGAATTCTTTGAAATTCATCAATAACATGTGTCAAATTGTTGAGCATTGCAAACAATTATTTTACCTCTTCAATAGGTGGACGAACTCAAGAGTTAGCACTTTCTGGGTTCTTGTACAGCTCCAGTCAAATATGCTGCATCTAGGAGCAGGTATACCTCTGTGTAAATGTACCAGATAAAAAAATCAAAAGAAAAGGACTAGCATCAATAGAGGATTATCTAACCAAGTTCAATTAGAAGAAGGAATATCTAATTCCGTCAAAACTGAAAACCCCTAATTTGTTCGATTTCAAACCCTAAAAACACCTTAAATCCAATTAGAAAACTGAAATACATTATACCTATTCAACTGGGTAGAGGCTGTCTTCAGAGTTTCCTCAGGCTCAATGGCTGGGCACACAGAGGTTTAAAGCAGAGGGCGGAGGGTCTTGTCTCGGTCTCGACGGCTGACGGACAAAGATCCGAAGCAGAGAGTGGTGGCGGCCTTTTGTCGGAAGCAGAGACCAGCAGGGCGGCAGATGTTGGGGAGAAAGGATGGGAAAGGGTTAGGTTCTTCTCGTCGGAAGCAGAGACGAGCAAGGCGGTGGGTTTCTTGGCGGGGCCAGGGGCTCGAACGGAGAGGAGTTCGCCGTCTGGAGGTGGGTTTCGTTGTTTTGGGAAAATGAGGTTGGATTTCGACGGATGGGAGCAAAGACGGGGGGCTAGATGTTAGGGTTTAGGTTAATTAAGGGTGAAGAGGGTGGATTTTGCACTTGCGGCAGGCCCAAAATTTTGAGAACGGAAAAGGGGCGGCAAAAATTATTGGAGGCAAATGTTGGAGCCAATTCTAAAAAAGAAGTGAAAATTTTGAAGCCCTCTGGAGCCAAAGTGAATTCGAAACAAAGTGAATTCTCCCTCCAAGAATTTTAATAAATTGTTGTTAAAGAAATTGCTAATTGCTAAATTGTTATTATATTTAAGCAATAGATATTACCTAGAAATAAAATATTTAAGCAATAGATTTAGCAACCAAAAAATTAATTGTGATTATGTGTTATGAATAATAGAGCAAATACAACATATAATTGATTTGAGTTGCATAAACTACTTCAAAATGTGTTATGAATAAACCATGAATAACACAAAATATCCAACATAAAGCATAACCATGAATAAACCCTAAACCCTAACCCTATACCCTATACTATAGTTATATGTTATGAAATTGTTAGTATAAGCTATAACGTATGTTATGTGAACAATGTAAGTTGAGTCAATTTTATATTCGGTTATTGAGAATAACATACGTCTTATGACTCTAAACTCTAAACCACGAGTCCACTACCGTATACCCTACACACTAACCTTAAACCATGAACTATAGTTATGTGTTATGAAATTGTTGGTATAAAGTATAAATTATAACGTATGATATGTGAAGAATGCTAGTT